ATAAAATTTGTATTTTATATGAATACTACCTTGTGAAGACTGAGATGTGATAGAGTGGGGGGAAAGGTATTGTAGATTTGGTGGGGGCTCATGAGACCCTTGTACCAGCCCTGAGTCAAGTGGGTGTAGCATTTAGACAAGACTGAGAAGTGGTCTATTTTTATTGGTTAGGATGTAATCCCAGCATGCATCTGTAGAATTTGTGTATAAATTTGGGGAGGGTGATTTTTTTAGTAGTCATTCCTTGAATTGAATTTTCTTTTGTGAAATTTTTACCCAACCAGTTTTGGTGAGGCTGTGTTGAAAGAAATTTTATTTGGCTAAGTTCCAGACTTTTGTTCATTGTTTTGATTTGTGCCCTAAATTTTATATTTTCTGTTTCCTCAGCTTTTTATGAATTTTTTCTGTTTTTGCTTAATTTTTTGTTTTTAATTAATTTTCTTTTCCCCTCCGTCAGCAAAGGCTGAACTTTGTTGTTGATATTTTGGTGGGAGAAGTTACTAGCAAATTGACCGACAAAAACCAGTTATTCAAAAAAGACCTCTTTTTTTTTTCTCATTTTGAGTTTTACATTGTTTCACCCAGTTAACTGAGATTTTTTTGCTGCAAGTAGTTTTGTGATGGAGCGAATCAAATACTAATAGAGTTTTTTTTTTTAGTTTTTGTAGATATATTTACTTAATTGTATAAAAATAATTGAGGATTAGTATTTTTACACCCCCCCCCTGCATATAATTTTAAGTTAGGATTTTTATTGAGAAAATGAGGTGAAGTTGGTCCTGATAAAAATAAAATAAAATAGAATAAAATATGAAAACAAGAAAAATGAACTAAAATAAAAATAATTCAATTTAAAATGAAGCAGTTGCACTTTCCTTTAAAACACTTAGATCTTTCGTTCTCTATTTCTCTCTCTCTCTCTCTAAACTTCTCTCTATATACTTCTCTCTCAACTAATGAGAAGGCATCCCTCAAATAAAAAAGAGGAAGAAGAAGAAAAGTCTGAACCTGGCTGAGAAATGACGAAAGTTTGCAGGACCAGAACATACTAATTTGATTGAAAGCTGACAAAAATTAGGGAAGATCGACACATAATTTCTGTTATAAAAAAAAATGAAAAAGAAAGGAATGCCAGAAAATAAAATAATTTGGGCCAATCAAAAAAATTGACGCAAAGAAACTTTTGATATTAGCCAAAACCAATGTTCATGCCAGAGTCTGGGAGCCTGGTCAAAAGGATATAAGCTGACACCTCTGAGCTAGAAGGGAGAGGATGGCGCAAGAAGATGGAAAAAAAAAAACCAGCCATGCATGATACATGAAGTAGTTATAAGGTAATTTGCTAATGATATTTTCTACCCTTCTAAGGGCCATAAAAAATGCAGAAGATTGACACTGACCTATTTCTAATATTAATATTACCCCAAGCCCAGTCTGACTTCAAAACTACCACTACTGATCCAAAACAGATATTTCTTCAAATTGCTACCAATATCAGCCTTATTAATGTACATTTTGTTAAACCAATTACCAAAGGACTCATTCAGAAGCAAATAAATAAAGATATATTATCTATTTTATACCCTTGAATCAGTTCATTTTTATTCCAAAGTTTCCAGAAAGGAAAATCTTATGAAAACCCCACAGAGGTATTTTGGTAACTGTGGTGTGACTAGTAACTGTAAATGTGATATTATGGTGAATGGAAAGTTATTTGTACAGATGGGTCAGTAAGTGAGACTGGTTAGGTTTAGACAGGACTCCCCACCTCCATTTTAGCTCTTGTGGCATATATTGCAAATAAATAATGCTATTAAATATACATTCCTTGGATTGAAACCAAAAGTAGTACTTAAAATATGCAAACAGCATCCCTTGCAAAAGAGGCCACTTTCAAGGTAGATACTGGCAAACATGGCTATAAATTTGACCAATATTTACTATATTGACTTGAATTTAAACTGGATACCATATTTGCGAGCCTATTGGATGCAACCATGCATTGGACACACCCAGATTTTGGCATTGAATATTTATGAAAAAAAAAATGAACACATCGCAACCAAAAAATCAAAATTATAACCTTACTTTTACGTGACCTTCTTGCTAACCATGAAGAAACACTTACAGTATTAGCATGAATTATACTAATGTTACTTTTTTTGTTAATAGAAATGAGGTAAGGCTTAATTACTAGGACATTTTTTGGAAAAGAAGAATTTTATTTCATTTCATCATGCATTGAAAATTATTTTAGTTGTTTTTCAGGGAGCAACATTTGCACATACAGTAAATTTGTAATAACTACAAAGAAATCTACTGGTATCAGTGAACACTGGTACATATGTTAATAGACAAAAAACAGAAATATAGTACTTGTTTGTAAATGAAGTCCCATAGCATACATGCAGAAAAGCAAATTTCAATAACTGTATATAAATAAAAACACACACAAAACAAGCAGCAATATACCAGTCAAAGCAAATATTTCTGTAAAATCTGGAATTTCTACAAAATATTGTCCAGTTCCATAAATTTCTTAATTTCTTTTTCCTGGGTGAATTTTTCAGGGATATATTTAATGATATCATGTTTGTTCCCATACAGGAGTCCTAGTTTCATAGTTAAGCTCTATGTGGGGCACTGATTCTTGGTGAACCCCACTTTTTTCATAATCTTCATGTTCGTCTCATATGATACTAATTTTTTAGTGCATTATTTTTTAAAAAATCCATGTCCACTACACTGCCAAATACAGTATATACCTACCTTCTTAACACTAGTTTAAACGGGATGTGTGTACCTTTTTGATTCTGGTGTAACTCAGACCTGTGTCTACCTTCTGAGCTTATTTCTACCCTTTTCACCCCCATGTAAACTGGCCTTATGCCTACCTATCTATTAAATCATTGTGATTTTTGTCCTATGAAATATCAACATTAAATAACCCAACAAAGTTTAATATGTTACTACATTAACCATAGAAAAAGTTAAAATATGAAAAATAAATGATGACTTATTTATAGAATAAAAATCATTTTTTTATTTTTAAGAGATTTTTGAATTATTTTTATTATCACATTTCAGCCAATTCATTCTTTGTCATTCCTCAGGTGGAAATTCCATAAAGAATTGGAATCATTCAAAATAAAAGAATTTATAAAAAAATATTGAAAATCTAACATTCATTATCTCCACCTGTTCAGATCTATCTTAGTTCTGTCTATCAATTACAATCTCTTCCTCTCTCTCTTACTAAATAGCTCTGTTACTTAACATTGAGCACATTTTTTCTTACACTATAGAGTATTTATATGTATTTGTATACAATCACTCACTCATATGCCTACCTATATTTACCCACTCGATTATATATATTGTTGTATAAGAGTAAGTGTCGTTTCTGACACTGTGGTTTGAAACTAGATCATCAGTGAGTAACACAGGCGATTCCATTATTAAATAGATCATATGATCATAAAGGAAGTGAATAAATAAGAAGTAGCATGATGACTATACAATCACTATTCACTCTTCTTGTTTATCCACTTATTATACATTCACTCTCTCTACTACTATACAGATTACGATTCTCTTCTGATCATTATCTATTTGGCGATTACTACTTGAACAAGTATTACTACTGCGGATATTACTGGAAGGTGTTACTACTAGTACCAGCATCTACGAAGTCTCAAATATTTTTGTAAGTGATAACAAGCTTTTGCTTGACGTAGCAAAAGTGGCAAGTGAAGCCATCCAACATCACAAAATATATTTATACATATATATATATATATATATATATATATATATATATATATATATATATACACATAAATCTGTTCATAACTATTTATGAATAAAGACAAAAGGAAAACTTATCTTAGTCAATGTGTTTCATCCTCTAATGGACTTCATCAAGGTAAATGTAAGGATTTTATTTTGGAACAAATATTTATAAACAGAAGTAAAAATTTTGTGAGTTTTTCTGAATATTTAAAATTAAGAATGCCCATAAATATACTTGAGGCTAAACTGAAAGTCAAGGTAAACTATGGAGGATGCTAACTGAAGGAATTTAATGTCTAATGAATGAAAGTGAGTAAAAGCTGTTAATGCTGTTAATCTTTTATTTATAACATAATTATTATTTATATCATTTTAGTTTGAAATTAATTCTATTTATGTATTATATGTTCTGAATAATAGAAGGTTTTGAATTTAAGTGTTTTCTTTTAGTTTTAAAAATTTTCATAGTCATGTATGTTGGTTTAGGAAAGGATATATTTGAAAACATTTGGAGCACATATTTATATTTCAGGAACATTCAATAATGACACTATTCTGTTTAATTAAGTTACTTTTTCTTTTAAAAAGTGTGGCATTTCTGTTTGAATTTATTTCAGTGCATGACAAGTGCATTTGATAAAGTATTGTGTACAAGTACCTTTTTATTGTTTGCAGATACCTTTATCCATATTGTCTTTTTTACAGTTATAATTTTAGTTATATCTTAATTTTTACACATATTTATTTATCTATTTCAATCTCTTAATAATTTTTTATTAGAAGTGTAATATAATTAAAATTAATTGTTAAAAAGTGTAAACAAAGAAATGTTATAATTGTCGATAACATATACTTTTTAGAGAATTGTATTTTAAAGAAATTGTGTAGCGAAATTGAAAGGCAGCAGTCTGTGGGTTCTGCTGAACTGACTACAGTTCGACGTTCTAAGAGGCAACGAGTGGCATGCGTGATATGTAAGCAGAATAGTGGACGCTTACGCAAATGTAGCAACAGTCCCTGGCTAAATGAAATGCTGGAAGAACAAGGAGAAAAAAAATGGCCTACCTTAGAATCTGAATGTGTTTCGCCTGCAGCGTTCCGGAAGTTAACAGTAAAAGCACGAGCATCCTTGGTGGGGGGGTATTTATGAGTCACGGATGTGTAATGTATGCAAATTTCGACCAGTTAGAACTGATACAAAACGAGCAATGTCACAGGTGGGGGGTCTTTTTTCTTTTTCTTTTGTTCTTGAGTTGGTCGTACGGTTCGGGGGTGCATATCGTCGAAGACTAAAAAAGACTATAGGAATCTATCTTCCTCCTTATACTTGAGACGGCAGTGTCAAACTTAAAACCAACTCTTTTCCTTCAAATTGTTACATTATGTTTGTAAAAAGTTTTAGTATTAGAATTGGTAATTAAAGAACTGCCAAAATTATTTCTGTTTAGTTGGATTGTTGATTTGAATTAAAAAAAACAGACTATTTTATTTACTTTATTTACTGTCCTTGTAAATTCTGAAGTTAGGGCTTATCCAGAACTTCTTCATTTCCTATATAAAGAGACTGGCCAGTAGATAAGGACAAAATGTAATCAGATTTCAGGACAGAAAGAGGTTTCAAAGCAGATGGAGTGATAAGTCACGCAAAAGGATGCAGCCTGCTGGCAGTGGAAGAAGGTTTCAAATTTCAAAGGTTTTTTTCTGTTTTTTTTTTTTAAGCATTACACCCCAAGCAAGGCATGAAGCCACTAGGATGCAGGGGGTTGCAGAAGATTTGGAGCGAGAGCAGATAGGAGTGATAGAAGAAAGGATGAGGAGAAGGATAAAGGGTAGATCAAGGTAACTGGAGGTGTCGATTGACATTACATTTGAATAGTTGGAGATTATAGCTCTCAGGGAAACAGTAATTCAGAAGGGTGTTCCACAGGCGAGAGGTTCGAGGTATGAAGCTATTGGAGTAGAAGAGACGGCTACATTTAAAAGTTTCTACAGTGTAAGGGTGGGAGCGGGATGCCAGCCTCATAGGGCGCTTGAATTCATGGAGTCTGGGAACCAGTGAAAGCAGCTCATCAGAGCAATTACCATGAAAGTATTTGTAGAAAAGACAGAGAGAGGCGATGACGTGTCTGTGAGAGAGTGACTGTAGATGAGATGCCAGATCAGGGCCAATTATATTACATATCCATTTCTGGATTTTGTCAAGAACCCCGAGGTAAACAGAAGGGGGTCCCAGACCATATAAGCTGGTTAATTCTTCAAACAAGAACCAAATAGTTTAACCAAGATGAACTGACACCAAAATTTCCTCTTCAAGAACTCAGAAGGTATTGAATAAATAGATTAGTGCTCTACTGTATTTATAATATAGGGCTTAAAGAATATGCCCATGCTACTTCATAGACTAGCAGGAACCAGGACCTTGCATCAGTGATATTCATTGATATATTGTTTAGAAGTTGGAAATTGCATTTAGCAAGTTTTCAAAAGAGGTCACTCCTGATAATTTTATTTGAAGGCCTCCAAACTGAAATACATCCTGGCAGAATTGAAATTTATCTCTGTTGAGGATGACTCCATTTTTTTTAGGAGGATTGAGTAGTAATCATCTATGGCATCCAATACAGTCTTCTTTGTGTTTGGTGGTATCTGTAATGCAAATTGGGTGGCAACCTAATATAGTGTGTCTTTCATTGGAAGATTAAATGTTGGTAGTTCACTTTTCTTCTAGGTTTCCCATTTTTCTTGGTGGTGATCACCATAATGCTACACCAATCACTAGGTGTACCAACAGGTACTGGAGTAATGATGCCTCTTTTGATAACTTCCCAAAGGGCTTGTCATACTTGCTCCTTGAAATGGTATAGTACTGGAATGGGGTTATATCTAGCCTTGGGGGTTGAACCTTCCTTGAGGTGGATGTGAGCTGGAGAACCAGACATAGCAGGGAGTTTCCTGCTATGTGGAAAACCACTGTGGCAAATTGTTCTATCAGCCTCCCTTTAAGTTTATCTATGTTTTCACTGGTTGCTGGGAACATAAGAGTTTTAAGATAGTCAGGTTGTGGGCTTTTAATCGACTCAGGTTTGAATTCATGGGCAAGAGGGTTTTGTGTTTGATGATAGGATCTGGGAGTAAAGTATCACATGTCACTGAATTAATTGCCGGGGTGAGTGGCAGTCATAGGTTCAGGAAAGCATGGAGGTAATATGCCTACATCAATGCAGGCTGTTTTACTGAAGTATATTGTTTGTATTTTCTTACAGATATACAGTGACTGTTTTGTGGTCTTTCCCCCAATCATCAATTTGATGGGAAGCCAACCTTGACACACCAAAGAGAACCCCCTCACTTCACATGCTTTTTTTTTGAGGGGACTAAATTTCTTGTTGAGAGTCTCATGTGTTGTAGATGTTTTGGCACATCAAGGTATATGGTTGCACCACTACCAGGGTAGATTCTGAACCTGGTAGGACAGGAGGCAGGGATATCCCTGGCTTGTCTTGGGTTCAGATGTGGGGAAATGGGATTAATGTTGACTCAACCTCCTTGCGGCTGTTGTTATTGCTTGACTTAGGTGTCAGTTGCTAGGTCAAATATCACATGCACAATAAGGGCATCCATAGTGGCAACTTCCTCCTCAAGCCACCGTATGGCACATCATTTATTTTCACCCTTTGACTATGTTATAATAATTTACCCGTGCATGCATAGACTCTCCCAGCTATAAATAGGAGCAGGTAAGGCCTTTTGAAGTGAAATTTCCATCAGTCAGCTCTGGCAGTTGGACCCACTATTCTTGCTTTAGCACTCTCATTTGTATATGTTTGTATTACTGTTTCTGTTAATATATTTGTTTAAGTCAATTCCTTTATTGTGTCTTTATTTCTGGCCCTAACAAGGCCACAACAGACCAGCAGACCTTTGCAAAGTGGTTCTGCTTGCCACACCCATTGCATGTTTGATCTCATGCAGCACATTTCTGTTGCCAGTTATTCCAAGTCTACCATGCTGGTAGCTGCCACAACTTCCACACACATTATGTTGGGGTTGCATTCCGACTATGTTATCTTCATGTTTCTGGGTAGTGTTAGAACAGACTGTATTTTGGGACCGTTTCTGCTGACAATATGCTGACATCCAAAACCCTACCCCATCTGAGGTACCTGATTGGCTGCTGGTTTTAGCGTAGACATTGTGATAAATAAATATTCATCATTCTCCATTATATTTGCTTGAGTACAGATCTGTGTTGAATTACAGTTTGTGCACCCTCTGTCTGCCAACTGGACACTAGTTTGGAACCTTCCTGCAGAGGTGAGTATTGCATTGATTCTACAGAAGGGAAATTGATTTTTGGCTGCCTCCTGAGAAGATTTTGCAAATAGAACCAGAAACCTGTAAATAGAACTTTTCTATAAAAGAAAAACTATGAAAGGCCCCATGACATTGGTAATTTGAAAGTACTTAAGCTCCCTTTGTACTGTGACATTTTTTTTTGGCTTACTATTAGATGGGTGCACTTTTTGTATTTTCTTCCTTATCCAAAATTTGCATTACGTTATGGGTCCGCATATGAATATTGCCAGTGTGGATAGGTGTAGGATAATTAATTTATCAGAAACTTTGGGAATAAAACAAACTTGGGGGTTAAAAATAAAAATATATTTTATCTATTTTCTTTAAAGTGATGAGTAAGTCCTTTGGTATTCAGTGTAGGAAAATTTGTTAGCAAGGTGGATATTGATAGCAGTCTGAAGAAATGTCCATGTTGGTAGTTGGAAGTCACACCATGATAGGGGTAGTAGTAATATTAAAAATTAGGTCAGATGTCAATCTGCTGTGTTTTCTCTTAGCCCTGAACAAAGCAGAAATGTAAGTAGAAGATGACCTCTTAACTGTTTCTTCACGTGTCACACATGGCTGTGTTCTTTTGTTCCAGGTCTTCTGGGGTCATTCGGGTCTCCTATCTGCTGGCCTAGAGGTGTTAGGCTTTTATACTATTGAATAGGCTTGAGAATTTGGTATGAACATGGTTTCGGCTAATTCAAAAGTCTCTTAGTGTCAATTTTTTTTGATTGGCCAAATTATTTTTTTTTCTGGCATTCCTTTCCTTTACAGTTTTTATAATGGAAATGCGTGGAGCCTCCCTGATTTTTGGTATTTCTCAGTCACAAATAAGCAAGCTCTGCTTTTGCAAACTTCCAGTGTTTTTGGCCAGGTTCTGTCTTTTCTTTTTTTTTCCTCTCCTTTGCCTTCTTATAAGAGAGAAGTATGGAGAAGTTTAGAAAGAGAGAGAGAGAGAGAGAAAAAGAAAGGTTTGGTTTTGGTTTGGTTTGGTTTGTTTTGTTTTAAGGCATATCAACTTCAATGGGTTATTTAATGCCGACAAAATTTTTATTGCTGGTAATATTTTGTTTTTTTCAAAAATGTATTGCTGGTAATATTTTTTTTCTTCAAAAATGTATTGTTGATAATAATTTTTTACAAAGTATTTCTGGTAATAAAACCTATTTTTCATATTTTCATAGTGTTTTGATCCCAGTTTGTGGGGGTTAAATATTTGCCCATAGTTGGGACCCTAACAGGTGCTACCATCCCGGGTCAGGGTGGACAATGGGAACACCAGCAATTAAGAGGTGGTTCCATGCCCCTCAAAACCTTCTGATTAGAGGCCTTGCTGTTAAATGTAGTTTATTGTCATGCCCAGGACAAGAAAGGGATAAGAGTTTTTTCCTCTCCTTTAGGTTGCCTTCTTATAGGAGAGAAGTATAGAGAAGTTTAGAGAGAGTGAGAGAGAAAGGGATAAGGGTTTTAAAGGAAAGTGCAAATACCTTATTTTAATTTGAATTCGTTTTAGTTTTGTTTATATATTTAATTTTTATATAATTAATTTTTTTATTCGGACTCACTACAACCTTTTGAAGGTTTTGTTTCTTTTTTTAAACATTGTTTTGAAATCTTTTTTCTTTAAATCATGTGTATATTGCTTGATTATCCTGTTTAATTTTTTAGATAAGGTACACAAAAGGACATTTTTTTTGTGCATACCCATCTTCTAGATTTGTTTTATTGTTTTTTTTTCTTTGAATATACGCTCCTTTAGCGCTCGAGGGCGTCGTCAGTGATGTTCTAGAAAAGGATCATTGGACAGTTTCGGGTCTTTCAAACATCATACTGACCTCACCAAATCTACCCTTTCAGAGCTGATCAGACTCTGAAACGCCCTCTAAAAAAATGCTTGTTTGTGCTGACTTTTATAAGAATACCCCGTAATCTCACATTTGATTGGAGATTGACCAACAGCCAATCACAACGGTGCGAGATCTATTTAAGCCGTTTACGGGTAATTTTTTACTTTTTCTTTTTTTGGTGGACACCCCCTCATCGGATACTTAGAACTTATGTTTTCCGTTTTTATCCACTTCCCCTCACGTTTCATTTCACCAGCAATAATTACTATATACAGAGATAAGAAATACAGCCATTGAAATTAATAAATACAGCGAATCAAGCCGAAAGTGCTTATAAATAAAACCGTTTTAAAACTTTACGAATAATAATGTATGTATAAGAAATAAATAAATTACAGCGAGTTAAAACCGAGAGTCTTATAAATTACATAAAACATCTAAGACATGTTGACGAATAAAAAAAAAAAAGGAAAAGAATGGAATAGAAATAAACTATTGGAGCGAGTTAACCCAAGAGGGCTTAAAAAAAAAAAAAAGTAAAAGAAAAATATGAAACGTTTAAAACATATAAACGAGTAAAAAAAAAAAGATAATCTCGTTTATGCGATTAAAATGAATAAATACAGCGAATTAAACCGAGGATGCTAATAAAAATCTTAATGACACGTTTAAAACATGTTGACGAGTAAAAACCCTAATCTATTAATTATAAAATTAAATATATGTTTTTTGGATACGAAACGAAACGAGAAGGGGGGAGTAAAAAAAAAATAAATAAAAAAAAATAAAAATATTTTTAAATATGCATAGTAATAAATTTTTGTTCTTTGAAATTTCATGTAGTAGCTGAGACTTGTCATTTGTTTTCACCTTATTTAACACTCAGGATAAGAGAGCTGATTATACTCTCTTTTTCCATTCCATCCCAACAAAAATAAATTCTCATATTTTGAACTAAAATAGGCTTTTGTAAAAGAGATTTTCTTTTAATCTATCTATCTATCTATCTATCTATCTATCTATCTATCTATCTATCTATCTATCTATTTTCAGCCTGTATGAATTCTATTCAATTTGATACTTACCCTAAAATACATGAACTTGATAATAATGAAATCAATAAACAAACGGACAGCTAAAAAGGCTCAGCTATTTCTACACTTTGTCCTTTCTAATTATAACACTGTCGGAGAAATTTATTAAAAAGTCTTCCAGGCCAGTGTTCTCTGCCAGTTAACACACATTGAACAGAGGTCAGCTGATTTTAGCTTCCTATGTTATTGAGAAGGCAGCAAGTTTGACATTGACAGGACCTGAGTTGATTTACGGAGACACAATGGCGTAATGAATAGCAGCACAAATTGAGGAATAGGAGAACCAATTTCAAATTTCAGCTGAGTCTATTACATTCACTTATGTGGTAATAATCTTGGGAAAAGTATAAATCCATCTCTTCTTCCCCAGCTATGGGTAAATAACAAGACAGACTGGGTCCTATAGCCTTGGGTGGTAACTTGAGGGCCTAGTGTATGGACTGAGGGCAACTCAGCCCATATTCATTGGTTTTTGGCTGTCAGTCAAGTGCTTGGAAAGGAGATGGGTGCCATCAAGCTATCTGAGAACCAACTAAAAACATCATGAGGAAAAAGAATCAAAGTTTGTTGCTTCTGCACTCAGGTCTCTCATCAATTGAAACAGTCAAGGGATGGACGATGATGAGAATGAGTTGAGAAAAATTTTTAAATTTAACAAAATTACTGAACTCTTTAATAGGGCATTTCTTGATTTAAAAAAGAACAACAATCATTTGATTTATTTTCCTTCAATATTTATTTCAACAAAGACAGAAAGTTTTAAGCTCTAAAAGATGAAGGTCAGCCCCCCAATCTATACTTGGAAGTAATGAATATTAAATTCAGTAATGAATATTCAATTAATGAACATTAAGTAATGAATATTCATTATTAAATTCAGTAATGAATATTCATTATTAAATTAAGTAATGAATATTCATTATAAAATTCAGTAATGAATATTCAATTAATTAATGCATATTAAATAATGAATATTCATTATTAAATTAAGTAATGAATATTAAATTAAGTAATAAATATTCAGTTAAGTAATGAATATTCATTAGTAAAGTAATGAATATTAAATTAAGTAATGAATATTCATTATTAAATTAAGTAATGAATATTCAGTTAAGTAATAAATATTCAATATTAAATTAAGTAATAAATATTCAATTAAGTCATGAATATTCATTATTAAGTAATGAATATTCAGTTAAGTAATAAATATTCAATTAAGTAATTGTTGTGGCCTTGTTATGGTCAGAAATAAAGAGAGGAATTGAGTTAAACAAATATATTAACAGAAACAGTAATACAAACATATACAAACGAGAGTGTTACAGCAAGACTGTTTGGTCTGACTGTCAGAGCTAACTGCTGGAAACTTCCGTCTCTAAAAGGCAGTACTTGCTCCTGTTTATAACATATAGTAATGTATAATTAAGTAATGAATATTAAATTAAGTAATGAATATTCATTATTAATTTATGTAATGAATATTCATTAAAAATGAAATAATGCATATTCAATAAAGAAATAAGCATTACAGGTATTCCTATATTATCAATGGTTATTAACCCTCTAATTAGTATGTTGGGTTAACTTTTATTCCTCTTCACTGTACTTGGCTTGTTATGTAATGCTTAACTACCAATCAGTGTGAACATTTGTATTACTTCAAATGTTATTATCCTGGATACTCATATTTGAAATGTCATTAAAAATAAATGTATTAATTCTTTAGAAAGTGCTTTGTTTTACATTTTACCTTGCTGAAAAGTGATGTTGCACAGGAAGAGTTTTGTGGGTAAACACTGTGAAAAGGAGATGCTTCCCTGATGCAGGGGAAAAAACAATCTCTTGCAACATGACATACTTAATTTGTAAGTACAGACATTTGCAATATTCAATAGCTTTCCTTTTCAGGGCAGGAGAGAAGTAATTTAACACATAGCTACACTTTAACACAATTACTTTCTTGAAAATAAAACCATCGCCCTTGCATGGAGTATTGCTGCTATATATGATCCGGTGCCCCTTCTGTTTGTCTCAAGGTTCTTGATAAGATCCAGAGATAGATATGCAATGTAATTGGCCCTGATCTGGCATCTCATCTGCAGTCGCTCTCTCACAGATGTGCCGTTGCCTTCCTCTGTCTTTTTTACAAATACTTTCATGGTAACTGCTCTGATGAGCTGCTTTCACTGGTTCCCAGACTTCATGAATTTAAGCGTTCTACTAGGCTGGCATCTCACTCATACCCGTTTACTGTCAAAACTGTTGAATGTAACCATCTCTTCTACGCCAATAGCTTCATGTCTCGCACCTCTCGCCTGTGGAACTCCCTCCCATTTTCCTGTTTCCCTCAGATGTAATGTCAATCGACATCTCCAGATGCCTTGGTCTATCCCCTATCATTCTCTTCATCCTTTCCTCTATCATTCCTATTTGGACTCACTCCAATTCTCTGTAACCCCTTGCGTGCTAGTGTCTTCCCACCTTGCTTGGGGTGAAATGCTTAAAAAAAAATGTATTTTCTTCTAGCTTCTACCTCGTCATTATATATTTTTTATTATAAATGTTTCAGCAAATATATGCAGGTACTACTATACCCATATATTTGGTAAATACAAATTCAATCTTTCTTTTCAGATTATGAAATTAATGTTTTCTTGAATGGCCACCCTTCTAGATCTAGATTGGTGGACAAAATTCTGACATGAAAAAAGTATGTGAAAAAAGATCTTCTAAGTCGTCTCTAGAAGTTGAATAACAAGTCTGCATTTATTTTTAACAGGAAGCTTGCTTATCTTCCAAGGAGAGCAATTCAAAAAATATCTAAAAAACCTTTCTGCCTAGCTACTTAAAAAAAAATACTAAAGCTATTTTTTTTTTTGAACAGTAAGTCTAATTTTTCCCCTCTTTCTGCTATCTCTCTACCTCTTTCACTCTCTCTGAACTGTTATTGGAGTCCTTTTTAAGGGCTCGCCAAAGGGACATTTTTTGGCAGTTATTTTCAAGTTGTACCAGTGAACTTTAACATCAGACTATTCCCCCCCCCCTCATTTTATTTTTTTTCTTTTCCCTCAATAAATTTTATAGCTATTTCAAGTGGTTTTTCCTTCTTCTTTATCTCACTTGTTATGGTTGTATATTCCTGGTTTTCAGGTCTCTGTTAACTGTGTTATGCGGGATTCCAGTCATTGGACGTAATGACAAAGTTTCCCAACCTTTTGCGCTGAGTTTGGCTGTTACTAAGCTAAATTTCAACAGTAGTTACTAAAAACAAGGATCATAGTATTCATCGAGTGATTCGTAGTTTAATGCAACTTTAAAATTTTGTTTGTGAAAGGATTTTGCCATTTTATATCATTAACTTTACTAATCTACTTTTTGTATGAATGATTCATTGTAATATAAATTGAACAGCACCACATATTTGATATATATATTTCTTTCCAGGCAGAATATGTATGTATGTATGTATGTATGAATACATATTTATATATACATACATACATAAATACACAAACACACACATACAAACACACACATACAAACATAGACAGAGGTAGAGATATGCATACATTCATACAGATTCTTCCTGGAAAGTATCCAGCCATTTAACATGAATGGAAAAATCAGCCAACCAAGAGCAATGGCACCTTTGTCCCCCAGGAATCTCAAACACTTATCCTAAAACAGACTGAAAAGATCTCTTTTGAGATTGCCAAAGCTGCATTGTCATGTTCTACTTAATATCAACCCCCACTCTCAGCATTTTAGCCCTGTGAAGTTTAGCTTTCCTGTTGTATAGGAAAGTTGATAGAAATAGTGATATTTTGCCCCCCCCAAAAAAAAAACGTATGAATCTTAACTGATTTGCTTGTCAGTCACTGTAAACAAGATAATTCACTAGTGTTCCACTGCTGACTGAGTAACTCCAAAGGAGAGTGACTGTTTAGGCTTGTGCAATAAGGTCAGTCTTGATTTTTTTTTCATTTCATCTCAAGCAAGATAGGACACAAGGTGTTACTTGGAGTGGAAGAGAATGAGAAGACTTTAGTGAGGAGAAAGGACAATAAAAGAACAGGTTTCAGGAAAATAGAAGATGGCGACTCATGTTGCATTTAAATTTTTGAAGATTGTAGGTGGCAGGGAAGCAAAAAATTGGAAGAGATTTCCACAGGTGAGAAGTGTGAGAAAAGAAACTATTAGAATAGAACTTACAGTTGCATCTATCTAGTTCAACAGTAAAAGGGGGAGATGCATTTGCCAATCAAGTAGCTTGTTTAAATTCATGCAGCTGAAGCACTAAAGATAACAGCTCATCAGAACAATTGCCATGAAAATATTTGTAGTAAAGACAGAGGGAAGCCACATCATGTCAGTTAGAAAAAGGCTGAAGTTGAGTTGCCAGCTCAAAAATTGTTGCATTACAGACCCTTGTTTGGATTTTGTTGAGAATCTCAAGATATATAGTAGGAACACCAGACCAGATATGGCAGCTGTATTGCATGGACAAATGGTAGACTTATAAATGTGCAAGATGGATTCTGACAAGAAAAATTGTCTCACATGACAGAATGAACTTACTTTGCTAGCAGTAAACCTAAAAACTGATTCCATATAAGCACTCCACTTCATGTTAGTGGAAAATATGAGCCCAAGTTTCTCTCCGGGGGGTTAGCATCAGCCATGTTGATGGCAGGCAGAAAAGATTCTCTATGGGAATTAAATGAAAGATGAAGAAACAACATAGGTCCAAAGACAGAACCTTGAAGGACCTCCACATTAATGTGAAATGATTTAGAAGCATGTTTGTTCAACACAACTTTACACAAATTGTTCGGAACAATTGGATTAATCCAAATAATCCATGGGGCTTGAGCTTGTGAAGAAGGCCAGCATGCTAAAACCTGTTGAATATGTTTTAGATATCTAAAGCCACAACCACAGCTTTGCTATTCTTATCTAAAT